CCAGACATCTAAGTCATATAATAAAATAGGAACGAGGAGGCAATACAAAATTCTATTGGCGATACTGAGCGGTCACCATGTTGATAACTATAAATCGACGAGTTGCCAAAATTAGACTTCTGTGTTTTTCCCTTTTCAGTTTATCATCGCAATCTGCAAAACTTTCGAACTTCTCGGTAGAGATGATTGTTAACAATCTCAACAATTTCATCATGTCTGGGAAATGTCTACAATGCAGCCAGTTTCATCGGTGCAGCTTGAATAGGAAGAGCTAAAGTGACCCCACATGGCGGTGTTCAGATTTTTAACTAGAATTTATAGCTTGAATTCCTACAAATGCGGCAGAGATGAAATTTTGGGCAGTCGTTTTATATTTTTATGATATAATGGCTCTGTTGCCAAGCAAGATAGGTGAATTTTTTGTTGACGGGCTACCTAAGAGGACAAGATAGACTTGTGTGGTTTAAGATTATCAACGTCCAACAATACAAAATCAATCCATGAGGTCCATGCGAAATCGCCAAACACATTCAGGTACTAGGTTGTAGCCTTATTTGTTTATTCACTTTTTATTCTTTACCTAATTTAAAGCTGTGGAGCATCATCTTTTTCAGGAAAATCAAAATATATAAAAATCAACTGCGTGACGATGTCTTAGACGAAACTAGTTTTATAAATCGCTCAGTTAAAAACTAGCGTGTTGAATGTAAACTTGAATTAGGATTCTCCTGAATAGAACCATGTTTAGAAATATTTTCTTGGCTTTGATGAGCAAAGCTTGTTAGCTACTAAACACTAAATAACCTATTGCTTAAGTCGCTGCCTCAAAAGAAAATGGTTGTTGCAAGTTTCGTTGGCGAAGCTATCATGATGTAAAGGAAATGTTAAAGGACAGAGAGCTGGAATAACTTTTTATCTCAATCCACGTAAAGTCTCTTTAGGTCTGGCACTATTACGTACTCATTCGGCTGAGCTACGTACGTCGTTCGAAGTGATGCGATGTTGTGTCGCCTTGGCATCATTGTGGACGAACTTGCTCGAGATTTCTTTACGTGCCAATAACAGACACCGAAAGCTATGATCAACAGAACGACCACGCCCACTGACACTGCGATTACAGCTTCCGGGTACCGAATTCTATCAGTCCAACCTCTTGACGTCTGTACAACTGCTTCA